GTTATTAGCAAAGTATAATCCAGTAATGAGAGAGCATTTAGAGTGTGTTTAAAACAAGCAAACGTCAACCTCTTATCTTTCTCCTGAAATCCAAAATGAGTTTATAAATCTCATGGTTTCACATGCGCGAAATTATTGTTTGTCAGCAATTCGTAGAAACAAATGCTATGATATTCTGTTTGAATCCACTCTCATTTAGCCCATCGTGAGCAATTGGCCCAAGTGATTCGGTTTGTTGACATTGACTTTAAGACAAGAAAAGTAGAAATCAAAGAGTCATTTATTGACTTTATACAGAAAAAGGAAAAAGATGCTGCCAATATTGAGAAAACAATAAGCACAAAACTAGAAGCAGATGGAATTTTATTGAGTGATTGTTGTTCACAATGTTATGATAATGCTGCTGTCATATCAGGTCATCTGTCAGGCGTTCAACAAAGAATTCTAAACAAAAATCCAAAAGCAGTGTTTATAAACTGTGACAACGATAATTTGAAATTAGCATGTTCTTCATGCTGCAAGTCAGGGAACAACAGTTATTACCTTTTTTGGTATAATTGAAGCCATTTATAATTTCTTTGCTCATTCAACAACTTGATGGGATGAACTGGAGCAGGAGCTTAAGATCTCTTTCAAGGGTGAATCAGAAACACAGTGTAGTGCAAGAGAAAAGGCAGTAAAAGTTGTACATAAGAAACTGGATGAACTGCTACGACAGTTAGAGCAATTAAATGAGAATGGCAACATGACTGAAACAAAATGTGGTGCTCATAATATTCTGCAATGCATGCTTACATTTGATTTTCTTGTACTTTTGCCTTTTTGGAGAAATCTTTTATCATCTATCAATTGAGTGCAGAAACGTCTTCAGGACCCAAAAATGAATTTTAGAGAAGCAGCTGCTGATCTTGATTCTTTGAAAGAGAAATTGATAGAATCACGTGAAAAGTCCTGTCAAGAAGCACTTAAAGTGGGCAAGAATCAATGAGAAACATGGGGATTGACCAGTGAAAGAAGAAAAATTCGTCATAAACAAACGCCAGGTGAAAATGCAGCTGATGCTGGATTAACTGCTGAACAGGAAATTTATTGCATCAAAAAGGATGTTATTGATGTTACTACAGAAATAACATGAAGATTTTCTCGCTTACTAGATTTAGATTCAAGGTTAGTGTTTCTACTAGATGTGCAAACTATTGTTTCTGGAGAAAAATGTTCTGACTTAGCAAAGAGCTATCCAGGTGATACTGATGGACCAGAATTGTACAGAGAAATTAAAGACTGTAGAATGTGATAAGTAAAAAAACACAAACCGATTTTCCTGAACCAATGGTTGCAACTGATTTTCTAACATTTATAATTTCATATGGTGAAGATGTTTTCCCAAATTTAAGAATTACATTGCAGATTTTGTTAAAATTGGAGTTTCTATTGCTAGTTGTGAAATGTCCTTCAGCAAGCTGAAATTAATTCTTACATACTTGAGAACCTCAATGACTCAAGAAACACTTAGTAACTTGGCAATATTAAGTATTGAAAAATACATACTTAATACATTAAATTTTGATAGTTTAGTTGATACATTTGCAGCAGCAAAAGCACGAAAGTTTCATATAATGTAACCATGAATACCAGAATGCTACCTTTACAAGATCTAGTTAAGTATATGTACAGTTTTGTAAACTAATAAAATTTGTTATTTGTAAACTTAAGTAGTATTTTATCAATCTGTTTTATAATCCATGTACACCACAAGTGACTGGCTTCTCATATAAAACATGTTTCTAACCTAGGGATATAACAGAAATTTATTCTGCATACTTGAAAGATTACTCTAGCTATGTGACTTTGAACAATACTGGATGACATAAATATCAAAATAGTTTAAAAATTATGTAAGTACACCTAATAGGCTATACTTCATAAGTTCCAGGTTTACAGTTGTGATATCGTGAGATGTTATATTGTGACTTTATTTTAGGCCTGTGTAAGGTGGTAATTAATTCTTTATGTTATTGTCATTAAGTGGGTAATGAGTCACAAAACAAATAATCAAAACATTTCAGAGGTGGGGGTGCCAAAAGTGTCTTTGCCCCTGGGTGCTGAAAACCCTTGCTATGCCACTGTATTTGATTGGCTGGAACAAAACACCATCTAACTAACCCTAGAAATCCTGATGAGGGTTCATATGGACCTTGCCACGTTTTAAAACACACTTTGTAAAATTATTAATGCTCCAAAGTGTTTGAGTGTCCTTGACTTCATTAGTTACAGAGTCCCTTGTAACATATGTTTCACAAAAACTAACAGTCAAAAATATAAAATTATTCAATATAACACAATATGTGAACCACACTAATAAGTAAAAGTGTAGAAAGTCTGTAATTTGAGGGTTAAAAGATAGAAAAAAAATTATTGCGATATTTTTAGATGATAGTGATAGACCTATTTAAATTTGAATGTGTATATCATTAGACCTTTACTGAAAATATTCTCTTCAAACTACTGTGGTTTTAGAAATGGGTTGATTGGTTCAGCCATCTGCACATTCAGCCTTGAATCCATCCAGGAAGTGTTCAATGGAAAGTTCAAAGAACAAGCCACATCCTCCTCAGCATGGCTGCCTGTCATCAGTGTAAAGGTTCCAGAGCCTCGTCCCGGACAATGTGTTAATAACACCCAGACACTGCCAGATTCGGTGCTCAACTTTATCCGTGGACATCCTCTGATGGACTCTGCAGTTGCCCAGGAAAATGGAAAACCCGTGTTTTATAAACGAGATGTGATCTTTACCAAATTAGTTGTTGATAAATTAGAAGTTGACGGGGTTTCTTACACTGTTTATTATGTAGGAAGTGGTATGTTTATTGTAGTTAAAAATATAATCAAATAACAATTTCAGCTTAGAAATGGAATATACATCAGACAATTTCAATGATTCTTTTTGTATGCTTTAATTCTCAGTTTTCTTTGTGAAAAGGAATCATCATCACTTGATAAGCTTGAATAATTTGAATTCTTAGTCAAACATAAGAGTGTTACGACTATAACCACAACAAGAATAAATTAACAACCTTAATATATGTTTCAAATGAACAGAATCACTGATTAACAGATTTCAATTTAGGTTATAACTGTTACTATTAATTTTATTCAATCAGCATTTAGCTTAAAATTAATTGAAGTTTCAAATGAACAGAATCACTGCTTAACAGATTTCAATTTAGGTTATAACTGTTACTATTAATTTTATTCAATCAGCATTTAGCTTAAAATTAATTGAAGTTTCAAATGAACAGAATCACTGCTTAACAGATTTCATTTAGGTTATTACTATTAATCTTGTTCAATCAGCATTTAGCTTAAAATTGATCTTATGTGTAATTTTTTACAGTGGATGGACGTGTGTTCAAGGTGGTTCAATGGCATGATGGAACAGAAGAAGCACACTCCAATATTGTGGATATCTTCGATGCCACATCTCCTGAAAAGATTCGAAATATGGAAATCTCTAGCAAGGTAATATTCTGTTTTCGTTAAAACTGTTGGAAATACGTGTATTATTGACAATGCTAATAATTTTATTACATCATATACAGATATATTTTGGGGATTTTAAGAAATTTCTATTTCAATGTTGAGAACAATGTTAACTCCTTTAAGTCATAACTTCCCAAAAATGGAGGTTCTGGTAAAAACATGTAAAAGTAATTACCACCCAAAAAGGGAGAATTGAGGAGTTCTATTTTTCCAGAAGTTAATACATCCCTATTTGGAAGGTTATTTATCTAGATAGTTAAATTGCACGTGAAGTCTACATGTACATACCCTGTTGCATGATTTTTGGTTGCTACAAACATAGTTTGGCCACTGGACATATAATAATTTTCTACATGTACATACCCTGTCGCATGATTTTTGGTTGCTACAAACATAGTTTGGCCACTGGACATATAATAATTTTCTACATGTACATACCCTGTCGCATGATTTTTGGTTGCTACAAACATAGTTTGGCCACTGGACATATGATAATTTTCCACTTGTACATACCCTGTCACATGATTTTTGGTTGCTAGAAACATAGTTTGGCCATTGGACATATGATAATTTTCTTCATGTACATATCCTGTCACATGATTCTTGGTAGCTACAAACGTAGTTTGGCCACTGGACATATGATAATTTTCTACATGTACATATCCTATCACATGATTTTTGGTTGCTACAAACATAGTTTGGCCACTGGACATATGATAATTTTCTACATATGCTATACTTTATATAACTCAGAGAGACAATTTTAGTTTTTAAAAAAAAGCACTCTGAAAACAGAGACATTAAGATTAGGGTTACAATTTTCAGTAGCATCAATCTATATAATACCAAACAATGTCCAAATGTAGTTCTGATGCATGCCATTTCACCAGAACTTTGTATTGTTTTCATATAATGCACTCAACCCAATGTAATATTAAGAAGAGTTTAATTAAAGATTACATGTGTATATGTAAGGTAAGTGATTTTAAGCCCACATGTGTGTAATTACTGGTGATAAGTAGCAGCTGATGACTGCAGAAACTCATTTTTGTACAAGGGGCACTTTTATTTTGGTACATCAGAGTAAATGTGTTTTGGTTTATTTAGTTTTACATTTAAAGATAACAACCCATTTTTTACAGTTTTTAATGACTACATTGCAAAATATTCGATAGATGCCAATATAGGGATTAGGGCATGTACATATTTAAAAAAGTAACGTCTTTGTGCTTACTTATGAAATATGTAAAATACATTTTGTATTACATTGGTTTTAAGAATGAAATGCATGCACATTATTAATAAGCTGAATAGAACATAACATGAAAATCAAAACTGTAAAGCTTCATGTGGTAGAACTAAAAGGAGAAGCAAATTGAATTAAAGAAATTAAAATCAAACCCTTCAAGAAAGATTATTTGTTGTGAAAGAGTATGTTGTAGATAAAAATAATTTATATATAAAGAAATTGATTCGTAAGCAGTGAATCAACATCTTTGTAAAAGTGTATTATCCTGCTAACAGATAAGTTTAGATATACTTATAAATGAAAAAAAAAAAAAACAGAAAGAGATTTTAGATCCACAATATTATGTTTTTGGAATGTTTATAATATGGAATTGGATAAGAAAACTAGAATGCCCACACAGTTGATTTTATTTGTGCATTGATGATATGAAACATTTTAGTGTAAACAAGTTTGGTAATGCTATTATTATCTATTACTCTAAAAGTATGAATATATATTTTAATTTCACAGTAAATAACCACTTCAAATATTTTTTGATCAAATTTCGCTAAAGAGAGTTCATGAATGGCATAAGCATAATCTATTCGTTGTCTTGAAGGTTTCTCTCCAATCATTTATGAAAACCATTTCTTTAAATGATGAATCTCAATTTGTCTTTTTATTTCTACTATATGACTCGTAGGCTTTCAGTTCTCAAAGGGTAAAGATCAAGACCAGGGTTAATAAAGTTTGTTTGTTTTTAATTTATTTTTAATCAATTTTAAGTGGCTAACAACTTCAATTTTGTCAACCTATGATGTGTACTTGTTGTGAAAAAGTCAGTATTTTATTGCTTAAAAGGTGATTGTTTTCTTCTCATTGCAGAACTTCTTTCTTTATTTTGTTAATTTGTTTTTTTATTAACTGATGTACTGAAAGTTATCCATTTGTAACCAAAAAGACACTCAAAGCTCCAATTAATTATACATGGTAATTTGAGTTTCATTAATTGAGACAAAATGAGACATCCTAATTGATTTGCACATATAATACAAGCCTTTTTTCAGTAAAAGGGTTCTTATACATACATGAAGTATTATATTAAACAAAAAACAACTTTATATAACATGGCTCAAACATTGTTCTCTGAAATAATGTATAAATATTATGTAGCACAATTCAAACTTGTTCAAAAGTAAGTTGTTGTACATGCATATAAAAAGATCACATGATAATTATGAGAATTTGTACAGTTACCCACTACATATATATTTAAAATAAGCAGCTTTGACCGGGTAGATAAAAAGGTATTTTATTTTTTATGATGTTTTATCTCATATAAGTGAAACATAATTCTAGATTTACGTCATCAAGTTTTGCTTGTAACGGATGAAAGTTCACAGAAAATGATATAGTTTTTTTAGTTATCCATTTGAAGATACATTATTGAAGTATGACATAAAGTCAGTTTTTGTTCCACAGGAAGATTCTTTCACGTGGATAAAATAGGTAAAAAATTTGCAAAAAATTGCAGATTTATACCATGAAAGGGTTCTATGGCACACAAAAAAACTGTATATACATGAGGTCAGAAATGGATTTGTTATTAAGGTCACTAGCACTAGTTTATGAGAATAATGGTGGAGAAAACATTTTAAAGCGATATATCTTGAAATAATTTTTAGTGTCAAATAAAAATTACACCTCATCATCATTTGTGTTTTATTACTCAGCACAAATCACTTTATGTGGCTTCCAAGTCAATGATTCGTCAGTTTGATTTGGTGATGTGCAAAAAGAGATATGAGACTTGTCTGCATTGCACGCAAGACCCTTATTGTGGATGGGACAAGGAGCGTGGTGAATGTCGACCCTATAATCGAGGGTGAGTACCAGTTTCATTTTTAATTTCTTTGTGGAGCTTGCATTGATTCTAGAATTATAACTACATCTTGGTACATTCAACTCTATATTTAGATGTATAACTTTGAGAGAGATTGCTATAAACAAGTTAAAAATGCATAATCCCAAAACAAATAATAGTAGTGGACTTCATTTAAAGAGAAAAATACATAATAAAAGAATTCACTATTTCATAAGTTTATTTAAAACAAAAACTTAAGTAATTTTTTATTTTTACTGATTTGATTCAGATCAATTACAATAATGTTATATAAAATCATTTTTAAAACATAAACGTGACTAATTGTACTTGTTGTTCTTGTATTAACCTGTTATTTCACGTTTCTCTGACTTTAGGTCTATTTTACGATCCACACACTTAGAGTCGGTTTTAAATTAATGTTCCCTACAATTGAGGGATGACCTTTCGAGCTAGTGCTCTTCATCAGATCGTACAGAACCTGGTTGTAAGCTGTACGATCTGATGAAGAGTGCTAGCTCAAAACATCATCTTTCTTTAAATAAAAAAATATAAAAATACTTGGTGATTGTTCAACATATTATTTGATTTTCTTATTTTCGTTGCGTATGCAGTTTTAACTATATTTGTTCCCTACAATTGATCAGCTTTGACTCAGTTAAATATAATGTTACGACAGCGGAAGTCACACGAAGCTGGGAGCATGCTCGCTGGAGTTTCTCGAAGGATCATGAATTTTCCTGGCAACTCTAGTTTGTTTGAGGCACCCTCTTATTTTTAGTATATAAGCCTGGCAAGAAAACCAGTGCAATTGCATAGATATGTAGATAGATTGAAGAGATAGATAATTGTGTCAAGTGAACAGTAGGCACCGTAAGTAAAGTGCATGAATTACTGTGATTTATAGCGTGTGTTATAAAGGTTGTTAAGTTTAAAGTGACTGTGGAAATTTTTTTTACTAAAAAATTGTATCAAGAAAGAATAAACTAGTTTTAATTAAGAAAGGACTTGTATCACTGAAGTTCCTCAGAAAGAATTTATACCGGAAATTAACAAACAAGCAGATACGTAACAATAATTTACCGTACAGTTTTCTGATAAATAGAAATATTTTTAAATACTTCATTTATAATTGATCCAGTGAAGTCTGCCAACGTAAAGAGTTTTTTTTTGTAATTTTGCTTGACCTTTATGTACACTTACTTTTTTAAAAATATTTCACTTTCTTATAACTGTTTATTCAGTGTACTTGCTTGATTTATGCTTACTTATTATTCTTTGTGACAACTGTATCTATAATGCTGTGTAATGAGAAGCCAGTTTCACTTTGTTTTTCTCTCTGTTATAGTTGCATTTGATCTTTCCTTATAATAGGTACTTGCAAGATGTGACCAAAACCATACCAAACATTTGTGAAGATTGTAAGTTTATCCTTAATTCTTATTTAAACTAATAAAGTAATGTTATATAATGTAAGTATGAACTGTTTTTAGAACTATTTTAAACAATAAACTTCAAGTAGGCATATTAAAGTTTATTAGAGCTAAAAATCGTTCTTATTACACTGTTTTTCAAAAATACCAATTTATCTGTTATATGAAAGCTTTTTTTAATGAGACTTTTCATAAAAATGTGTAAAGACAGTCTGTTGTCTAGAACTGTAAGAAAGTGTTATTTTTATTACCAAAATGAAAGTTTTATGTATTTTAATACTTCTTTTACTCACTGTGTAGGTGAAATAAAGAAGATTTTCAATGTCTATTGGGGCCAAAGTGTGCATCTTGCATGCACAGTGCGTATAGAGGAGATGAAGAAGCTAGAGCTTGGCCCTATTCAGTGGGTGCATTATGGCCAAGACAAAGACAAGGTTTTGGTTAGCCAGCAAAGAGACAAGTACATTATTACCTCTCATTATGGGTTAGTAATAATGACTGTTACTGACCGTGACAGTGGACGGTATGACTGTATAGTGGGACCTCACACCATGTGTACTTACAATGTCACAGTGGACACAAGTAAGTTTCATTTGTATTTTGAAAAATTGAGTAATTCTTCAAGTTCGAGAAAATATAAACAGTTACATAACTGATTGTAAGTGTGAACTGAGACTTGTGCCATTTAATAGATCTGATTGTTTATTTGGCTAAAACTTCTTGGTAAGCAAAGTTGTTGGTTTAAATCCCATCTTTTACACTTCTTTCAAAAAATTATATTACAAGATAGCCTGCCACTTTCAAACACTTTTACAGTTGAAACTTAACTTAGCATTTTGAATAGAAAAAAATATGGATTTTATAAAATTATTAGCATGATTGAAGATACCTAACAAAATTCCTTCTGTATCAACCAATGATGAGAGAGTAAGCTGCTATATTTTCCTCTCCTGATAGTATCGTCCCAATAAACTGAGTTCTTGTTTCAAATATCACCCAGTTTTATTGAGTTTGTTTTAGAAAGATTTTAACGTTATGTGCTGTCTTACAATTTTTTAGACTGTTATATTGTCTTAAGTTTGTGTTTTTGTGCATTCGCAAAACAAACAATTAATGATGAGGAAAAATTCTGCTGGATATTTGTTATGTGTGAGTGTGTTTGTGCAATAAAGAGGTGTGGCAAGAAGGACAGTTTTATCAGTGTTATACAAAATGATAACTGTCATATCATTATATTAGATCAAGTATTTAAATATGTGAATCATGAAGCATGTATTTTTATTTCATTAATTTTTGTCACTTTGTACATGTATTTTTGTTAGAGTTGCGACTCTTGCCATAGCAGTAGCAGTTGCTTAATATCAAGTATGTATATATATTTGGTAATATATCTATAGTTTAGTTCTATGTTTATTACGTCTTAGAAACATGCAACCCTCCGACGGAGCTGGAATACAAGCAAGTCTACTCCAGCTGGTGTCGAGAGTTTGAAAAATACAAGATGGCCATGAACACTTGGCAACACAAGCAGAATGTATGTTTTCCGTGAGTTGTTTGTTTTAACTAGAATGTGATAACTCTGCCTACCAGTGACATGTATAAAACTTTTGAAATTCAGTTCATAATTTTTTGCACACTTTACTAAAGTATATTTTAAGTTATACCAACAGCTAGTTGTAAAATAAAGGTATATATTAGTGGTGAAGTAACTCAGAAGTTGTACTGATGAAAGTTCATTATTTTTTAACTTATACATTAAAGGGTATTACTATATACAATTTTAGACCCTCTATCGTCATAAAAGGAAATGTTAGGTTTATGTGTATATACCTTCTATCATCCTCTAAGTAAACACAACTCTCATATAATGTTAATTCTTTTCATAAACCTATGTTGATAAATAAGATGTCAGTATATTTAATTCTTCCATTTTAAAACATGTGATACCTTCCTGTTCTTCACGTGTTCTGTATAACCTAAAAGCAAAGTGATACCCAGTAAAATCTGTTGAAGATGTATTACCAGTATGAAAATGAATTAAGGTTGTTACAATTAATTAGTATACAAGTAAAAACATACAAGATCATAAACAAATTAAATTATAAAACTAATAAGAGCTTTAACTTTCACTAACAACTGTAGTTGCTGATTTTCTTTATAATTCATTAAATTCCAGTAACAACTGTAGTTGCTGATTCTCTTTATAATTCATTAAATTCCAGTAACAACTGTAGTTGCTGATTCTCTTTATAATTCATTAAATTCTAGCAACAACTGTAGTTGCTGATTTTCTTTATAATTCATTAAATTCCAGTAACAACCATAGTTGCTGATTCTCTTTATAATTCATTAAATTCCAGTAACAACTGTAATTGCTGATTCTCTTTATAATTCATTAAATTCCAGTAACAACTGTAATTGCTGATTCTCTTTATAATTCATTAAATTCCAGTAACAACTGTAGTTGCTGATTCTCTTTATAATTCATGAAATTCCAGTAACAACTGTAGTTGCTGCTTCTCTGTATAATTCATTAAATTCAAGTAACAACTGTAGTTGCTGCTTTTCTTTATAATTCATTAAATTCCAGTAACAACTGTAGTTGCTGATTCTCTTTATAATTCATTAAATTCCAATAACAACTGTAGTTGCTGATTCTCTTTATAATTCATTAAATTTCAGTATCAACTGTAGTGGCTGATTCTCTTGATAATCCATTAAATTACAGTAACAACTGTAGTTGCTATTCCTTTTCAGAATTGATTTTGAATTCCAGAGACTTGCCTAGAAATACATAGACCTAATGTTAATTTTTTATTATTGTCAAAAGAATATTGCTAGAAAAGTATTCTAAATTATGTTGAATTACAGAAAAAGTAAAACTTTTTGTTATAGGTTTGCTTTCCTACTGAAATAAACAATTATTTGTGCTTAAAAACGAACAGATTTGAAATAATTAGCAGCCTACATAAGAAACATTCATACTTACATCAGTACACTTTGTTATAAAAAAAGGTAGTGTTGTTATGGTGTGTTTTGTATGTTTGATTTTTGATTTACACAAGACTTTTTGTTTTCCAGAAATGTCAAGCATATTTAAATGATGTGATTTACAGCAGAGCGCCATCTATCTGAAACTGTGCATTTTAAGATCCAGTCTTTTAGACTAATGATGGTATAATGCAGTTGTGTTTTTGGATCCTGGAGATAATAATAAGCTACATATGGTTCTAGTGCACTTCAAAAACCTTTGTATAAAGATTAAAAAGAAATGGAAAACAAATGTGCATGGAAGGCTTGAGTTCTCAAAATGACATTTTTTTTTTTGTTCATTCTGAACGTTTCTGACTGTGCATTTTTATGTCTGATCCAACATGATTCTCTTCATTATTTAAGCTGGTTGGATAAGAATAGCAGTTTCAACAAATGTTCAAATAATTACCAAGATTTTGAAAACAGCAACAGATGGAGAGAGACCATTGTAGTTTGAACAAGTTTGTACATTTATATGCATCATACATATTATTTGTAACACTTTTGTCATTGAATTGATGAGAACTATCGTGAATAACAGCAGTATATTAGGAGAGTTAATAAAATGTTCAATAATGGTTGTGATCACGAGTTGTATCTTCACGGTTTCAGTTATTTTAAGAGCATTTACTTTACTTTAATACAAAATATTGCTTTATTTAAACAAAACATACATATATATTTTTCTTTTCTGTCACGTGTGTAATATAACAAGCTACAACTAGTAATCAGACTTATGCAAAGGATTGCTAAAAATAATATTTTCAATGGTGTCTTTTAAACAGGTTTCTCTTTTACAAGTTGTGATTATTGACATCAGCTTTCTGCAAAACTTTGTACCCTTTAGAAATTTGTAAATTATAATATGTTACTTTGTTACTAGTTGAGCCAGAATTGAAGGTATTCAAAATTAAATTATTGTCTTGGTACTGCTTCGGTAGTTGTGTAAAGAAGTTGATGGATTAAGATACTCAGGATACTCTTATTCCATATTCTGGAAGTGGGTAGGAATAATCATAATGAAATATTAATTTTATTACATTAATTACTAACTGAAATGATGATTATGTTTTAATTTGTTCAGAACTCATGGAAAGAAACCATAAATTGGATATTTTTTTACGTCTTTTGCCTTCTTTAGTGTAAAGTTAAGATTTATAATAATGCTATCAAACTGTTACCATTCTATAACACATTGAGTGAAAAAGATGTACTGAAATATCGTACATTCCTTTGTAAAGTATCCTCTTATATCCTAAAAATTCCATTTGTTTTTGCTATTTAAATTTTCTTTTATTGTTAACTTATTGACTGTAGCTTCTTTAAACACATGCAGAAGTTTTGCAAGTCGTACACTGTAAATGGCACACTTGCATTCAACTTCCGGAGGCTGATAATACCCTATATGGTGAATCAGCAGTCAATGGGTTAATGCTTAAGAGCTTGTACATACCATTGTAAGAAATATGTAAATTTGTGTTCCAATTTTACGTGTTTACAATATTTTATTAATGAAGTACACTGGTTGTGAAGATTGACACTATTTCCAGATAGGATGTTTATCAGTCAAAATAAAAACATTCTTTGCTCAGATAAAGAAAAATGTGTAGAAAGCAATACTGTGTAATATCTTTTGAGTCAGCTAGAAAAAAACTCTCTTTGTAAAAGATTAAGTAGTATGTAAAAAGTAGTTGAAATTGAAGCAGTTTGAGACAATTGATATATATATATATATGTGTGTGTGTGTGTGTGTGTATTTTAATATATTAAATTTTTCAATTTTTTCAATGAAATGTAAAATTTGTTTTGTGAAGTGAAAAACAATACTAGTTCATAACCTAAAGTTCCAATAATACTCACCTCCTTTCACACTATAGCTATTACACAACTGCTAGGGTTTCCTTCCTTTGCCCATTTAAGCATTGGTATGACTTTTTTTTTGCTTGCTCCAGTGTTTTATTTCCCATGTAATTGCCCTTGGTGATATCTGTCGGTGATACTCTCCACTTATGTTGGATCACCCTCTATTCTGGTATTGCGTATAAGCAGCTCATTCAGATAATATTACCACTTTTTCACAACCAAACGTTCCCTAACTTGTTTTTCTGTACTACGACCAGTGGAGATACTTTAAGCATTCTTCGTGTTACATTTTTGATTTTTGTTAAAAAACAATATTTGTTTGGCAAGCCAGTATATGGGATGAATTCCCAGATTACTCTTTCTGGCACAGAAACAAATCAGATCTCTTCGATCCCATCTTTGATATCTAGTGTTACCCAACATTAGGGGGGGAGTCTCAGTTGAGGCTATTTGTAGTGAGATGGAAACATATATAAGGTCTGGTGGTGTTTACTCCAGGGGACTCCGAAGCTGCACTTGTGGGCAATCCTGGACACACTGGAGAAAATTTAGATTTGCTTTTCCAGTCCCTTCCAATTCTCTGTTGGCTTCTCGTGAGGACAATTTGGATCAGCCACTTCTGGCTCCTTTTCTTCACTTGGTCAATCACTATGCAATGTTTTGGGTCTTTCTCTAGTTGCTTTTGAGTCTGTGTCTTCCTTGATGGCAGAAAGGTCTGAAAGCGAATACTTAGTTCTCCTTCCATTCCCTGATATTGTAGTTCCTGCGGGGATGTTTACTACTCAGTTACGTGAATGGACAGCTATGCCTTGTCAACCACGTTTGTTGTAAGAACATGCTTTAGCCTACCACCCGCTAGGTAGATCCATATTTAGATTTTCAAAGAATAGACCTACTCCTGGAAATGTGGGATTACAGAAGGGAGTCTGTGGTCAACCTGAATAAATCACACTTTTCTAGGATTCGTCTGACCCTAACTACAGCTCTGAGATATTTATCATCACTCTAACTATTGTCAGAAGCCTCTCAGTGACTGCTACATCAATTTGATGACGAGTTGGGACCATTGTTGCCACCTACCTTGGTTTGATTGTCAGCTCCTGCATTTTCCCTTATATCTTGGCTGGTATGTTGTTAGGATTTGTTGGTTAGAGATGCATTGTTGGAGGATCTACTGGCTGCCACCCTTCGTGAGTTACATGAGGCCCCCTTTCTCTGACCCTTGGTTTTTGGAGGTGTTCCAGAGTCTTTGGATTCAAGAGGTGATGTCGCCTGTCTGCATTTATCCCTGTCATCATTGGCTTCTCAACTTTCCTAGCCTCATATATGGGTCATAGTTCTGCCCCTATTCGAGTGTCCCAACCCCCGACATCAGCCCCCTCAGTCCATTGGTAGCCAGAATAGATTCCACCCATATGCATGAGGTTCCTCCACTTGGTTGGAACACTGTCAGTAGCAGTGGTAACTACCATATGTCTCTGGACATGTGTAAAACCTTTACCATGTTACTACAGGTCTTTGCATCAGGATTAATCATTCAGTTCACATCTCCTCCATCATTATCCCCCAACCTCCCACAGATCCTCGGATTTGGAACGTTGTTTCAGGGTTATCAGATATTTTTTCGCTAAGAGGTAGTGGAAAAAGTCTTTTTCAACACATACCTCAATTAGACTCAGCTGACTCTCATCAGGTTCAATGTTATGGAACAGGCAGTCTGACTCTTACTTCTTCTTCCACTGTGCAGATGATTCTATCTCTTGTGGGAATGTAGGAATCACTCGAGTCTCTCATTTATTTAGGACAAGTACACATGGGATCTCTTCAGTGGGGTCTACATGACCAATGGATCATGAGCAATAATCCACTGTATACCCTAGTCTCCTTATCGAGGATCAGCATTTTTGATCTCGGGTGGTGGTTAGATTGGTACAATACTATGATAAATGTTCCTCTGCCACCACCTCATCCAGAGATCCATCTCTTCACAGGTACCTCAATTCTGGGATGGGTGCATATCTCAATGGTCAGCAATTCCAGGACCTATGGACAGACGACGAGGCTTTCCTACACATAAATGTTTTAGAACTCCTTGCTGTTCAAGGGGCGATGTCCCAAGCTCTGGACTTATTAAGGGGAAAATCATCATGCTTCACTCCAACAATTCAATGGTTGTGTCTTATGTTTCCAGTCAAGGGGCACTTGGTCGAGATATCTCTGTTTATGAATACTGAAACTTCTTTATTGAGCCCACTCTCATCATACCATCCTACTAGCATGCCATGTTCTGGGGTGATGAATTTGGTAACAGATCAATTGTATAGATCCAACTGGATTCTCCTGACAGAATGGATGCTGCATCACGAGGTTTTTCCATTGAATTTGCTCTTAGTTCAGGACACCAATAATTGATGCATTTGTCACTCATTGGAACACTCAACTGTTAGAGACTGCAAATTGGTTCAGTCTTGAAAACGTGATAATATTATCTGAATGAGGTGCTTATCGAGAGTACCAGGATAGAGGGCACATTGACATAGAATGAGAATGTCAGTCGAGAATAGCTGTAGTGTGAGAGGAGGTAAGTATTATTGGAAATACATTTTGGATTTAAGAAAATGTTAACTTCTATATTCCAAAAAATCTGACTTAACACAAGTTGTATTAATATTAGAACTTTTTTTTTTAAATATTAACATTTAAAATATGTGGAAAATTTCTGTCTTTTGTATAAATATTTTTACTTGTGTATATGTTTTTTGCTTAATTTCTTTCAAGTCGTTATGGGATAACCAATAGGAAAATAAGCCTTTTTGTACCATTTTAACATATCATACAAAATTATCTTAGTATTAAAGTGTGTTTGGGTGAATATTTCAAAAGAAGAGTTTAAGTTTATTTCAGCTAAAATATTTTCTACATGTTCATAGTGAATACAAATTACGCTTGCATGCCTGTGCCAAATAGCGTTACCTCCATCTATCCACATGATAATGATAAAAAAATTTTTAAGAAATGATATATAAAATTTTAACAATGCTATACACAATGTTTTGACTAGCTTGTTACATGTAGTGTGATACACGTTTAAAAGCTTGTAGCTTAATTCTGAGAATAAACCTTGTTTGTGTACCTGGCTTTGTTTGTCTGTTATATATGTTTGGATTGTAAAAGATTTATTTAAGCTCTAATTTTGATATGATACAACCCTTCTCACCCACGAAAGATTTTCCTGATCTTCATCTGTGCTCTAATGCATTGAAAAAATTTATGCTTGCTTGACTCACTAGTCTTTATACCCCTCAGTTCAAGCTGCTCATTTAGCATGCGTAGTGCATGTCATGATACTCCACCAATAGAAGCAAGAAGCACACTCCTGGAGCAGCTGGCTCCCTATATATTACATTTTGTCTATGTCACTTTCTCGATTGGCACCATATGAGTTAGACATGTTTCTCCCTTAATTTCATTTTTCAATACTGACTACACTTGATTTTTTAAATATGTGTGCTTTCATTCTATCTTGAATTAATTCATGATACAGATTTTGTTCTCTGTTTCACGCACTCACTGCACAGATACATTTACCACTCATCTTGGTGATGTTCTGCTGCTTTCTAGTTTCCGGTTCCTTGATCTCTAACTTTGGGTTGATCTACATTTTTTCTAGTATGGAGGGCTTTCCATTTTATGCCATCCCACCTATACATCTAATCCCTTAACATATGTCTTTCATCCACATCTATTCCTGTCAAGTTCTCTGGATTGCTCAATTTTACTGGCTCAGACTTGGTCTCCACTGTTTGTAAGGGAGTCTCTGCCTTTGCACCATTTTCCATCCCTTCTCTTTCCAAAATTTGTTCCTGGTCAGTTCCAGATTGCCTTCTGTTTCCTGTGCAGGCTCTGTGGAGCTATGTTGTTCAAATGGCTTCCATTTGTTGCTCTTGTTCCCGTTTGTTTCTTACCTGGATCCTTTTAGTGTTTCTTGACCTTTCCCCCATCACTATTATGGGTTGGGTTCGCCAGCTTATTCAGTTGGTTTACTGAATCCCTTTCCACTGTAGGTCTCCTTCTTTACAGTGTCTCCTCTTATCTGTTTTAACATGTCACCTTGTTTCTAGTAACTCAATTTTGTCATCCTTTGAAGGAGGTTGGACTGTGGACTACTACTCATACTCTTGTGTCTCATTACTTGTTTCATCTGGATGTACCCTTCTATGGTGGATATTGTTTCCCTCCAGTGATGATTCTCCATGCTTCAGTGTGACTCTGCCTTGGGTCGGTGTAATTTTACTGTTATTTGTTTTCAAGGGACCTCTCCTTGTATCTTCATTACATATTCAGATCTCGCTCAGTGGCTAGTGTTGCCTGGTCAGGTATGCCTTACTTTAACCTGCACCTGCTACCTTTAAGGTTATAACACACAATCTCGAGATGTGTTGTTCTGCAAGACCAGTGGTGGCTTACCTAATGGTATATATCTCTATCTATATGTATAATTCTATTCCATACTTGGCAGACCATCACACATGGACTATCATGAGAAAAGCAGAAGATTTCTGCCATCCCTGCCACTCCCTCAGTTGAATAAATTGGGAACAGTCTGCTTTTCAAAATTGGTTTTGCAGTCACCCATTGCACTTTCTTCAGTATGCCATTCCTCTGGACTCCCCACTGCCTTTTACTCTCTCTTCCTCGAGTGGAGTATGGGAGTCCTTACCACTTTCCAGTTTCTAGCCACTGGGGTAGTGGACCATGGAGGCTTCCTCAGGAGTGTATCATACATATAGTAACATTATTTCTCTCTACACCCTCTTGAGAAGACGACAAAGCTGGGAACCCTCTCTCCTTCTCCTTCCCAAGTTATTGTTCCAGGAGGTCTGATGTGGAAGAGAACTGGACCAGCCACCACAGGATTCTCCTCATAATACTGAGTTCAGTTTGATAGTGCCCTGTTCATATGGTTGATACCAGCAGACACACTCCATCTCAATAATTCTGGTTGCAGGATAAATTTTCCCTGCTCCTACAGTTTAGCTTGTAATTCCAATAGCAGGACATATGGAACCCAGCTCCTACGGTTGAGCAGGTGTTCCACATCCTACTCATAATTCTTCCCTGCTCTTATGGTTGAGTGGATCTTGTTCTTTTCATGCTCATAATACCAACTACAAGACGAATCCCTGTTCTTGTGGGTAAGTTGAGATTCACATAAGCAGCCCAATAATTCTTTGTTCAGGTTGGTGTACTTCCTACAGTTGATGTGTAAGTTTGTCCGGTGATCACCATTTACTGACTTCTTCATTGTAATTCAAGATGATTGCAGTATGGCACTCTGTCTACTCGTGGTTGGGGTTCATGTATAGCTGTTGTTCATGGTTCACACACCCTGGCAATGTTACATTATATATATATATATACTCAATTGATTCTTCAGCACTTTCTCTACCTCGTACTACCGAGAACAGGATGTGGAACCTCAGTTGTCCGGTTGGGGTTTGGGGAGTGTCTTACTCCAATGTTTTCCAAGGCTTTTCATTAATGGTTTGATTCTCGATGCCGCATGTTTCACGACACCTCTCTTCAAGGGCGAAAGACATACCTGTTCCAGAAGTGATGCAGTCTACCTCGTGTGTGCTTTCATTCACTAACTGAGCATACCTGTTCAATTCCCTTTATATAGGGAGTCTCTTACTTCTACCATCTATTCAATGTGGGATTCTACCTTTCATGTGAAAAGATGTACATATCGTATCGGAAGTTATCATTTTCCTACACTGAAAATAATTTCTGATAGATACTTACCTCCCTTCACACACTTCGCACCCTCCCTCCCCACTTCCGGTGTTTTTCTGTTTTCTGGTGTGCCTAATCTCGAAGATGAGGTAGACGAAATGTAATACAGAGGGAGCCAGCTTCTCCGGGAGTGTATTTCGTGCTCCTATTGGTGGAGGATCATGGCATACACGCTAAATGAGCAGCTTGAACTGAGGGGTGGAAAGGCTAGTGAGTCAAGCAAGAATAATCTTTTCAATGCGTTAGAGGACAGATCAAGTTCGGGTGAAAGGAGGTAAGTGTGTAGGGGAAATATATTTTCAGTGAAGGAAAAATATATCATTTGTTTAGCTGTTAATATAATAATCCGTGCAGCAAATAGTCACGAAAACACTACCTTAAAAATTGGTTCACGTTTTAAACTATTCAAAGAATTGATTGCCTCCAATAATTTGAATAATTTGAACAAATTATTATTGTCTCTACTTTCTTCGTATTGATGTTGTTTTAGTGATTTTTTTGTCATATGAAGAGTCAGTGTCATACATATACAGACTATATTGTTTGTTTATTTTTCTGTGATATATCCTCTGTATTTGTATGTAAATCTACCAGTTGACAAATGCATATTAAAGAATAGATAGTAATGAAACATTTTTAGATGCTAACATTGTTTTTTAATGCAGTATAAAGATGGAAGAATGTATTAAGAGTTTAGGTATACTTCAGTGTGCTTAAAGAAACGAACACCTAATGTTGTTTAGAATCTGTATTTACTCATAATCTTGATGTGCATGTTATATAATGAGAACTTTAGAGGAAAATATGTAGTTACTTCTTTGATACAGTTGGTTTCACAGAGATAAGTCAGGTTTTATATATTTAATATTTTCCTCGAAAATCGAGTCACTAATCTTCCAGTGGAAGGCTAGTTAGTCATTAGCTATATATTAACTTTACTTACTTCAAGTATTATCTTTGTTTGAAATGTCAGTTAGATATAGGTTGAAAATTAGTCTTTAAGATAATTAGGTAAAAGACAGTTTATACAACTCATCAGAACAGCAGAATAAATGAGATTTAAATTCAAATCAGAGTTTTTCTATTTGGTATTAAAGAGTTCTGATTCTTAAGTGTTAGTTTTTAATTTCTCTGCTAGCTTTATTCATTTTTTTAGAAGTTGTGATGTATCCATAGATGTGACGTTTTTCATTGGCAACTTTTTTTCTTTTTTTTTTTGTTTTAGCATTTTTTCCTTGAAATAAGGTGTGAAAAAGCCTAAGGTACTGGAAGTTGAGAATATTTTCTTATAGGATGAAGCTCCTTAGTTCAGGCTTATTTATTGATATGTGTTGTGTCATTAGAACATTATTTTTGTGTATAAAGTTTCAGTGTTTAGAATAGGGTATTTTGCAATGCCTTGTAACTAATAAAATGGCTTCCAAAATGTATTATCAAAAAGGTTTTTGTGTAACAAATGATTTCAAGTTTTTAGCTAGCATTATAAGGAAGTGAAAATAATTTCTGAAAACTTGGAAACATTTAATCATTTAATACTTAGAATTCAATATTATACTCTTTCCGATTAATCTGAACTATAAAATAACAAGTTAAGATAACTATTACATATAATTATAAGAAAACCAGAACTAATATCAAATTCCATCCATTCAAAAATACCAAACTATATATATATATATATATAT